TAAATTCAAAGAGACAGGATAGTCTGTGCATGATCTGATGTTTTATTCGGACCCAGAATAAGGCGAGAGAAACATCTTGGAGCGCTAAACACTCGTGCAGTGTGTGTTTCATTCATACTCGAAGCCGGAGGCGCTCTCGTGCAGAAAGTCGTACGAGGAAATTCCTAATATGGACAAAAGCATCCAGCTATCGCTGTATGAAAACAGGTGTTGGGAAACGGCAGATCACTCACTCCTCAGTCAGAGTCTTCTCCAGCGTTCGGGCTTCTTGAAACTTCTCCTGTCGTCTCTTGTCCATCCTTTTCTTCAAGTCTTTGTTTTCTCTGAAAAAAAAAAAAAAGAAATCATAAGATATTTTGAGGGACAGTGTTGTCCAAACAACATCAGACCACAGACTTTCATTAAATGGACAAAGACATGTTTTAAAAAAAATCTTCTTTTGTTTAATTGAAAAAGAAAGTCACAGGTTTGAAGGACATGAGGAGAGTAAATGAGGATTTGTGGCTGAACGATCACTTTAATATCTCTTACTTCTCACACAGATCCTTCAGTTTCTTCAGCTGGTTATTCTGACACTCTTCTGCCACAGCCGTGAGCTTCTCAACAAGCTACACACGAAGAGAAAGCCAACATGTAGGTAAGTCAACATATCACACCACTGATGTACAGCACACGCTAACGAGACAGGAAACACAATCTGATTGGCCGACTTCTCAAATCCAGTCAGCAGTGATGGACAGAACTAAGTCCTGCCCTTTATTTGTTGCATATGAACGTGTGGAAACTCAGATGTGTGTTTAACACCAGCCTGCAGCGTCAGCGACTGAGTGTTCCTCGTCATCAGTAAATCAAGAGAAACAAGAGTCTGATGCAGCAGGAGAAAACAGTCAGCAGTTCTGCTGCACAACCACACACACAGACACTGCTGACACACTCACACACACACACACACACACACACACACACCACACACACACACACACACACACACACACACACAAATGACTCTTATGAACCGGTTCTTTTAGACAAATGTTCATGAAGACTTAAGATGTTCAAGATATGAGAATGTGTAGCTAAAATATCACAAATGACAATTTACTAAAAAGTAATTTAGTGACAAAATGAATCCCAGGCAAATAATCCCAGTAATGCTGTGTAGCATGTGTACGGGATTTGTACAGGTTCTCTTTATTTCAGTGATTATGGCAGTAATCAGCATGATGAGTGAGTAATCACCAGTTTGACGTGCTCTCGTTTGAGGTACTTCTCGCTGTAGAACTGCTCCTGTCTGAGCGTGAGGAGCTGCCGCTGCTGCTGCTCCTTCAGTTTCTCACACCTCTCCTGCTCCAGCGCCAGCAGATCCTGATCCTGATCCGACACACACCTGCAGGAGCACAGCGCATCAGACGACAGAACCGGCACGGACGGCAGGCTGATCTCAGAGAAACTCACCTCTTCTGCAGCGCAGACCTGCGCAGCTGCTTCTGTCTGGACGCGTGTTCGTTAATCAGCTCGTTCGTTTTCTTGTTGTGTTTCCTCATGAGCTCCTTTAGTTCTTTGTACTGCTTCTTCTGCTCCCTCAAATATCCCTTCATCTGTTTCAGTTCATCTACAGACTGAGCGTCCACCTCTGACACACACACACACACACACATACAAGTTAATATGAAATTAACTTGATTCATAATTGATGAACTTTGCAACACTGACACAGTTACTGATCTGAATTGATCTGAATAATCACACTATTGTCTTCTGCAGTTGAAACTGAATTTATTTCATAACTAATGAATTTTGCAACATTAACACTGTTTATTTCTGTGAAGGTGTTGTGAAACAACCTGTATTGTATAAATCACATCAGAAATACAAGAACACAAGCGGTCTCAGCTTCGTACCTCGCTTAATACATCTCAGATGATTTGAAAGATGCCAGATCTTCTGATCTCTGGCTAATTTGGTTCTTCAAATGAATTTGCGGATCTGATTAAAATATCTGGATTAAGTTGTCTGAGATTACTGCGCGTTCTCGTGCTCCCCGTAATGAGCAGACGTATCGATACTCGAATCCATGATCAGCAGTGCAGCGATTGGCTGGCGGCAAGACAGCAACTTAATGACATCATATCATTAAAAAAGACACCTGACGAAAAACTTGACAAATATCTGGACCTTTATAAGGAAAAAGCCAAGTGAACAAAACTACATACATTTTATAATAGATACATGAAATGTGTACTGTTTTTATTTTATTTTATTATTATTTTTTACACGATTCCCAATTATTTATATTCACGATTTCTAGTATTTTTACAAGCATTACATTTTTATTTGTAATTAGCAAAATTAGCAATAAATTAAAATTTAATTTTATCTTTGAAGCAGATTTGTTATGTGACCGCATTATTTAAAGCTTCTTAAGGGTCAAGATCACGTTATCTGCATCTCCTGCGCTCCATCAAGCCACTGCTATAATATCTGTCAGCACTCAAATTAATGCACGACTCTGTACAGCATGTGTGTAAGACTCCAAAACAATTATAAAGTAATTATTTTATCACGAATACATTTTTCAATGAGTAAACCTGGCTGTGTCTATAGTGTTATAGATGATGACTACACAACATTATAATATTTTTTATATTAATTTTTAAATGATTATTATTATAAATTACTGTCCCTGGATCAGTAGGGTACTCTTCTAATAAAGTAGCGGTGGCTGGGACAGATTTTAAGTATCAATTCTGCTTAAAAAGATGCAATCTAACACACACACACACACACAAACACACACACACACACACACACAGATGATGCCGTTCTGATTCTACATGTGAACGCAGCATTACAGCGCAGCCGCTGGACATGCGTCACGCACCTGAGGATGACGTCTGGTGACTGACGACGGAGGATTTGGGCGAGATGCTGTCGTGATTCAGCCCGTACTCTGCGGCGGGTTTAGGGTCAGTCTTGACCTCTGACACAGGATCTCCACCGCCACTGACCTGCACCAAACACAAGCAGACCAATAACACACATAGAGATGATAAGAGATCTTCAGTTGAACATGTGCATCCTGGACCGTTACGAAGAACAGCTCACGGAAAACATGAGGTCTCTAAACGAAGCTTTAACCAGTTTATTCTGCATCACACGTGTGAAACTACGACATGATCAAAAACACCGTACCTGCACGGCTGGCCAGAGCGTGTAAACATACCGCTGGTAGCCCACTCTCAGCATGACTAAACTAATACTAGTCCACTGGTCAGACTAGTTTGCACCTGTCAGCTCACAAGCGTGCCTGACTCATCCTCACCGCAGGTTTATAAGCAGACCACTGCACAAACGGTTGCTAGCGGATCATGTTGATTCAGCTTGACTGGTTGAGCGAGTGAGAGAGAGATACTCTTAAACCAAAATCAGGATGTAAACGGACATTATATTTATTATTTTAATCCGCTGTCTACTGATATTTTGCACTGATGAACCAGCATTCTCACAGTCCTGGGAAATCTGGATATGATGAATTTTAAATTGTGATTTCCAGAGCTGAAAAGTTAATTGAATTTTCAATAAGAACATTTTCTAGTTTTTGTCAAACTTTCATTGGGTTTTATCTTGTTTAGATAAACCTCATCCAGGAATTTAGTGTGAACCTGTGAAACTTCTTGAATTACAGAATCCACATCTTTTCATTTCAGTTATTTATTGTTTTTATATATCAGCAGTCCTAGTTTCTGTGAAGTAAAAAAGCTTTGCCATTACAACTGAAGTACCAGAAATGTCTGCGTCTTCATGAGAAGCCTTCAGATATTAACTTGGACAAACATGTTGAGAGGCACTAAATTAATTAAGAGACGTCCTGAGCATGTGCAGACTCAGAGAACACGCCTGTCGCCATAAAGACACAGACACGCCTGACTAGAGAAACTAGTTCCCCATTTCACAAACGAACACAAAGACTTGAACCAGATAAATCAAAAGGGCAAACTGAAGTAGTGATCAGACCCTAACTACCAGTCACTCTGATAATCCACTAATGTAATGCTCAGAGGACTAGTACTAGTCAACGCATGTCTTGAGTTAACAGTTGCTAGTGATGTCCCGCTAATCATAAACACAAGAGGATCATTCATCTTTGACAGCAAATTTGTTTTCAGTAATAAATATGCATGCAAATTACAGCGAAGTGCAACAGTTTCCATACGGTGTTCGGCAGTGATCAAAAATGACTTAAACGTTACATTTTGAATCGATTTCTTGTAAACTCAGGATCACAGAACTCGCTTCTCCACTTTGAATAAAGCCCCATCTGAATCCATGAGTTTTATCGCTGAGGCTGAGGTCCACATGAGAAACAATTACCGTCTGAATAGGGCTTTGGTTGCACTGTTTTCTTAGACCAGCATCATCACATCCAGAGGCAGTGGAGCGTGGCGTTTGCTCAGACCCTAAACGAGGCAGCAGTAATCGAGCAGTTAAACTCACTCACCTCTTCTCTGTCGGTCTCCTGCGCTCCCTCCTCTTGTGTCAGAGCCGCCAGCTGATTGGCTCTTTGCTCCATCAGACTGATGTACAGGATGGGATTGGACAGGGCCTCGATCACGTCTGACACAAACACAACAGACGTTACAGCACGCAACAAAACACCAGAATACATGCTGAAGCTCTTTCAGTCTTAAAGTACAACACTGAGGAAAAGTGTAGAAGCATAACGAAGCTGTGATTTATCTCTGACTCTGATTTATTTGGCTCTTGTACCTGCAAAGGTGTCTGGGACGTAGTCCTTGACCTCAGTGTAGATGAAGACGGACGGAAGCGTCAGCGTCTGGTTCTTCTCGTTCCTCAGACTGATGTAATGATATCCTGCAGCAGAGAGACGCACGCTTTAATGAGCGCGATCTGTCCTCGTGCACTTTCACACCCAGAGAATCAAGCGGATACTTGCCGGGTCGGATGGCACACACTGGGATGATGCGATGACCGATAAACTTCCCGTTCTCTTCGTACACAGCTATCCTCAATGATGCCAGCGTGGGAAGAACCACCTGAAACATACGGCTCATCAGAATCAAAGCGTCTGAAGGAGAATCTGCCTGATGATGGCTCAGTGCTCGTCACTGCAGACGTACTCTTTTGAAGACCACTGGATCTTCATCCCACACCGGATTGACGGCATTGCCTTGAGACGTCTTGGTCTTAAACGCTTTCCTTTTGGTGTCCACCGGCAGGCCGAACATTTCCACCTCCACGTAAACACCGACTCTCTTATCAGACAGAAACTGGCCGGATATGATCTGAGAAAGACACAGAAACCTTATTCAACACCGCATGAACTGCAGGAGCTCCCAGATATTCACTCTCATCTGCTGGATTTGACAGGAGCTAGAGATGCAGTGAAACATCTCTATCATCTGGATACTTACTGGCCAAAAACCAAATGTCTTTGATTTCAATGAGCCTTTTGATTCAAGCTCGACAGCATATATATATATATATATATATATATATATATATTTGAGTGCGCACAACATGCCCTCTAGTGGTGTGATCTTCAAAAACACACAGACTCCAACAACTATTACAAATATCTGTAAAGTACACTGACTACTGCATAGAAACAAATACAGAAAAATATGCCTGTGTTATATATATATATATATATATATATTAGTGACTGCAGCAACTGCCCTCTAGTGGTGTGATCTTCAAAAACACACAGACTCCAACAACTATTACAAATATCTGTAAAGTACACTGACTACTGCATAGAAACAAATACAGAAAAATATGCCTGTGTTAATGTAATTTTGACTTGAATCAAATGTTTTTGACACTTTGTGCTGTGCAGGACTCAATCAATCTCGAGCCGATTTCACATCCAATAGCTTCATAAAGACTGGTCAGTCTGAATGACACACATCACAGAAAACACTGCTCTGAAACCGTTTCATTATCGACATGATGCTCACAACAAAAACACACCATAGCTGTAAGTCTACAAACAGGAAAGTCACAGCTCAGATTTTAAGGGTCATCAGAATAATCTCATTGATCTCCTCTTTTTAATTTGCACAGGAGTAAAGTTGTGGCGCACAGACGCATTATAGATGCATACATATACACTACCGCTAAGTGTGGGATCAGTAAGACTTGTCACGTTTTTAAAGAAGTCTCTTCTGCTCATCAAGGCTGCATTTATTTGATCAAAAATACAGAAAAAAACAGTAATCTTGCAAAATGTTATTACAACATAAAATAATGGTTTCTATTTTAATATCCATTCAAATATAATGTATTTCTGTGATGCGCAGCTGTATTTTCAGCATCATTACTGCAGTCTTCAGTGTCACATGATCTTCAGAAATCATTCTAATATGCTGATTTATTATCAGTGTTGGAAACAGTTTTGCTGCTTAATATTGTTTGGAACCTGTGATTCTTTGATGAATAAAAAGTTAAAAAGTACAGCATTTATTCAAAATAGAAATCTTTTCTAACAATATACACTACCGTTCAAAAGTTTGGGGTCAGTACATTTTTATTCTTTCTTTCTTGAAAGAAATTAAAACTTTTATTCAGCGAGGATGTATTAAATTGTTAAGAAGTGACAGCAAAGATTTATATCGTTAGAAAAGATATATATATTTTGAATAAATGCTGTTCTTTTTAACTTTTTATTCATCAACATGACAAGTCTCACTGATCCCAAACTTTTGACCGGTAGTGTATATTCAAATAGCTTGAAATGAAATGTGGTAAATAACCAATCGAGAAAAATAAGCTTGATTCAAACAATCAAGAAGTTTAATGGGATGTTTGATTTTTCTTTCCTTGTAAAACTGAACCAAAAGCACCATTTATTAAAGTGCTAACGAGGTGTATATTGTTTAATGACGTAATTAAATCTCGTTAAATTTTCATTTTCTCTAGCGATGACCCAAAATAAAAATGGGCCACAAACTGTCACTGATTAAACCTCTACATATGATATCATGATCCATATTTCATACACATACTGCACTTCGTCTCCTTTTGCAGATATAATGTATTGTTCTACATCTCTAGTGAAGACATTCGCTCACCTTCACAGACAGCGTGTGCGCTACGATCCCGTCGACTGTATTCTGAGTGAACGGGTCAAACTGTTTGTCCGTCCGTCGCATGAACTCTGGCTTCAGTCTGTAGCCGCATTTCCCGTTGTACTCAAAGATGCCCAGATTCAGCTGCATGGGCAGATCTGCCAATCACACACACACAGATGGAAACCAAGCACATTAGTGCTAATACATGACCAAACCAGTCAATAATCGGGACGGTGCGCTGGGACGGAGATGCACAGAAGAGAAGAGGGCATTTCTATGAGCAACTCCTATCTGAAGAAAAGCTTCATATTACAGGCTTTAAACAAACACATAGTTTAAAGTGGCTTTGACCTGTCAGGTGAGTGAGCTGAAGGTACCTATGGTCTGGAAGTTCAGAGCGACCAGCTGACATCCGGCGTTCCAGAAGACCTGAGGCATGTAGTTTGACGAGTCCACTCGAGTTCCTTTGGGATAAATTCTGCTCAGCTGCAGTTTATTATACCTGCGTGAAGGAGTTAGGTTTCTCTAACAGAGGATGGAAAGAGCTTTTACACCTTTTACACAATTTCACTTCATTTGAAAGAATGTTCCACCTGCAAAAGTGCAATCAACACAAAAGATACTCGACGAACTCCACCGGCGATTCTTTGAGCAGCTCCAGCGCTTTGGTCTCCACAAACGATGACATTTCATAACTTCGATCGATTTCTGTGGGAAACGAATGAGAAGAGTTACTGATCTTACAGCGCAGCTGCGTCAAACACATCTCAAGAACTGACTGACTTACTTTTGCACGCCTCGAAGGAGTTGAATTTAACAGGCTGAATGTAGTTGACTAAGTTGGACATCTCCTCTGTGGCGAAGGCTTCATTTACCGTCCCCTACAGACAGCAGAGACATGCGTCACTCCAGCGGCGTACAGATCCAGACTCACACTCTAATTGTTCCAGGAGTAACCATTCAAAATGAAAATGTCCTCAATCCTGACCAACAGAAAATGTCGACACACTGAGCAATGAAAGCCGGAGTGCTGCTCTTGTGATATAACGCTGCGCTCTCAGAGGTGTTTCATCACATCAGTGCATGTACAGTTTACAGTGTATAATGTTTAATAACGCTACAATGTTTTACTGCATAAGCAAGCACTGTCATTAAATATATATATATATGTATATATATATGCGCATGTCTAAAATAATTTTGTATTTTCAACTAAGCAGAATTATGAATAGCTCTTTTTCATGATGTGGTCACCACTGGAATTCAATGAACAGAAATTTATGTTAAGTTTTATGAGTGAAAACTTCACAGAATCAGTGATGAACTGACTTTAACTGATAAACTGACTTGCATTATCGACACCTTTTTCCTGTGTGACTCTGTAAAGCTGCTTTGACACAATCTGTGTTGTATAAAGCGCTACAGAAATAAAGGTCACTTGAGTAAAAGAAAGGAACTGTTTCAAAAGTTTTTTGTTTAAATTCTGGATTTATTTAAATCATTGTGAGAACAACAAATCATGAATTCAATATCTCGTATAGAACCAAATTGTGAGATGAGTATTGTTACACCCCCGCAATCTAGTGTGAATGGAGAGTATTTACTGAGATCTGATGCTGTGCTGCACAGAAAGATCTCTAGATGGCACTGTACACATACTCACTCACTCACTCACTCACTCACTCACTCACACACACACACACACACACACACACACACACACACACACACACACACACACACACACACACACGTCTGGTGCATTAAGCATTATAAATAAGGGTGACCTGACTTGACGCACACATCACTTGAAAAATGTGAATAATTCTCAGAAAACCAAACCTTCATGACTTCATTTCTTCTGTGAAACAGCGTTTCGGTTTGTTGCTCCAAAGAAACAAGTAATTCAGGTTTGAAAAACATTAGGGAGAGTAAATTTACAACTACAAATAGTTTTGTATCTCAGGTCCCAATCGTTGGAATAAACAGTTGTAAACAATCATAACTCACGCGCCTCCTGCAGGAAGAAAAACTTTAACCCATGAAAACATTACCTAGAAACACTCTATAGAGCACTCAGATGACACACAGCATGTAAACATCACTTACCTCATCCATGGACTTCTTACTTTCATCGTTATCTTCCTCTGCATCACTCTCTGCGTCCGCTTCTGCTGATCAACACACGACACAGACCGACATCACTAACCAGTCTGAGGTGCACGGCTCTTTTTACACGCTTCACGTCCAAACACTAACCTTTATCATCGGCCAGACTTGCGTTGCGTGATAGCGACCCTGTCGTTTTATCAATTGACTTCATTCCCTGCAATCTTCTTTCGCCTGCCTCGTTCCCGTCTGCATGAATGCTGATGTGAATCTCCTGATGTGTCGACCCTGTTACAAACACATGTACGGGTTATTATTCAAGACTGGTTAGTGTCTGACCTGACCCACAGAGACCAGGCAAAACACCAAGTCCATGATAACTACTGGTCAGCAGGGGGCAGCGAGAGACCAGCAGCAGGACAGGAGAATCTGTAAACTTGACTTCAGTTTACACACACATCAGCTGATCCTACAGCATTGACAGACACAATACAGCTGTTTTATTAGCTGATGAAAAGAATGATCTCTAAACGTGACTCTGAAGGATCTCGTATCAGAAGCATCCTTAGGATGTTATAGCACCGCAGGTCAAAAGCATTAGTGCTTCAAAAAAAAAAAAAAACCTTAAATGCTCACAGTGTGGCTCAACTGACTCTCTGATGACTGCAGAATGAGGTGTTTTTGTGTGTGCACCTGCGCTGGGAGACGAGGGCTCACACATGCTGGACGTGTCGCTGCAGGGGTTGGACGTTTGCTCGAAGAGCTTCTTCTTGGTGCTGCCGTCAGCTTTGTGGGAATTCTTCTTGTTCTTGATGAGGATTTTGCCCATCAGGTCCACGGGGCTGGGCAGAGGAACACCGGCCTCCAACTGCACACACCAGAAAGACCCAGAGAAATGTGTCGCTAACTGGACAGTGACTGACATGCATGAACCCTGTGTCTCCAAATGATAATTTTATAGGTTAGAATGAACAAACTCTTCTGTAAATATGATAAAGATAGACAGATAGACGGATAGATAGATAGATAGATAGATAGATAGATAGATAGATAGATAGATAGATAGA